CTCCCGCCCCCGTCTGGTGAATTTTAGTTTTGGGGTTGAGTTGTGAGTCTGATAAAGTCTTCCTCACTTTTTGCTAGGTTAAGGGTTGTCTTGGATTTCAATTAGACACCTGATTTATGAGGAAATAGATTGTTTTCCACTTTACTATTATGTGCTAGACATTTGTTTCTTTATTCAGTAAACATTTATTGAGTACCTACTATATAAACAGCATATAACGTACTTCCCAGCATTTTAAAAAGGTGGGTAGCAGTCTCTACTTCTGCCCCTGGTCCTGGGACTTAGGGATAAGAGGAGCTAAGTAAACCATTGGAAACATGGAAGTCATTCCTGCTTATGGTGCAGAAGAGACTCGGAGTTCTCGATGCAGTTCCCCTGCGTCAGTGACCCCTCCAGCCCACCCACACTTGCCTTGGTCCTAGGTTCTGGAGAAGGAGAAGAAACGTAAGAAGCGAAGTGAGGATGAATCAGAGACAGAAGATGAAGAGGAGAAAAGCCAAGAGGACCAGGAGCAGAAGAGGAAGAGGTAAGGTGGGGCAAGCAAATGAGATTAAAAAGTTGGTGGCCAAAAAGTTGGTGGCTCACACTTGTAATCCCAGCACTTTGGGAGGCCGAGACGGGTGGGTCACCTGAGTCCAGGAATTTGAGACCAGCCTGGGAAATATGGCAAAACTCTGTCTCTACAAAAAATAGAAAAATTAGCCGGGCGTGGTGGCGGATACCTGTGGTCCCAGCTGCTCGGTAGGCTGGGGTTGGAGGATTGCTTGAGCCTGGGAGGCAGAGGTTGCAGTGAACTGGGATCGCACCATGCACTCCAGCCTGGGTGACAGAGAGAGATCCTATCTGAAAACAACAAAAAAGTTCCAGTGGGACTGGAGAGAGGAGTAGAGGGTAGAGGGTGGAATGAGCGCTGCTTATTGATGTCAGGTTGTTCATGGAGGGTGTTCCTAGACCTACAGGGTTTGTGGATGAAGATAACCTGGGTAAAAGAGAAAGAGAGTGAGACCTTCTCATGTGCTTTTGACCCCTCTACTGAAGAAATGCTAAATAGTAGGAACAGCAACCCAACCACTGAGGGTTTTGAATATATACTTAAAAATTCTAAGGGAAAACCTTCATGCTTATGGTTGAACTTATAAGGGTGAGTGATGTGGGAAAGAGCATTGGAAGCAGCGCCTGTTTGTGTTCTAGTCTGGGGACTTGGTCTTGTTTAGAACAAGCAGCAGTTTGCAAAGGCCTAAGCCTAAGTGCTTCACTTTGACTTAGTGGTTCTGTTTCCTTTTCTCCATAGTTAGAAGCACAACATGGGGCTCCCTTGCCTTTCTGTCTGCAAACTTTCTCTCTCTCTTAACTGCCCTGGGTATTTTAGAAGGAAGACTCGCCAGCCAGATGCCAAAGATGGGGAGTCATACGACCCCTATGACTTCAGTGACACAGAGGAGGAAATGCCTCAAGGTGAGCGAGCGCCCCTTACTGATGAAAGAGGTTGTTCCTGTGATTCTTGGACTTTTCCAGTTGCTCTGTGCACTTTAGTTTCTTGTGGACTCTTGTTCGTTTGGCTCCCTGTTTGGGGCCTATGTCCAAGAGGTTTGTCCCAAGAGAGCTTCAGGGGAAACCCACAGTAAAAACTTTGGAAGAAGCTTTGCTCTATTGTGTACACCTCCTTGATGAACTGTGCTGTGCTATACCTGGTATAAGCATTTCACATAATATATATTTTGAGGGTCTCCTGCCTCACTAAATTCCTTCATCATCCAGTGAAGATTTCCCTTTATCCTAATTATTCTGCCTGGCCCCATAAGAACCCTAGGAAATAGGAGTGTTCAGCAGGCTGAGTGAGGGATTGGGAGTGGAGATGATTTCCCTAGTGTTTGTGGAAATGGCTTCACCTTGCTAATCTTCCCCATCTCTACAAACATCAACCCTCTGAAGTACACACTCCAAAGACGGCAGACTCACAGGAGACCAAGGAATCCCAGAAAGTGGAGTTAAGTGAATCCAGGTGAGTAGGGATGTTGCTCCTGCCCCTTCAAGAATTCTGTATTACTGAGGAAGGGACTTTTTTCCCTTGGAGAGGGTGGGAAACAAACTGCTGGTTATCAGTAAAACACAAAGCTGGAGGCCCGCGGCTTTTAACATTTTATATTCGCATTTAATTTCAAACTTATTGAAAAGTTACGAGAAAAGCATGAAGAACTTCTGGATGTCCTTTACCCGGAATCTTCAGTTGTTTAAATTTTACCATTTGCTTTATTAATAATTCTCTAAGAATTTGAATTATGTCTATGTGGGGTTAGGAAGAAGAGTTTTAGAACAGGTACAACTTACGTCTTACTGTAACCTCAGATTCTTCTTGGTGGGATAGATACATTTTGGCCATTTGTTTTTGAAATGAATTTTTACCACCAGGGTTTTAGGAGACATTTTTATCTATGAATTTTGTTTACTGAACACCAAAGAAACTCCATAGCCAAGTTTTACGTTTTTTCTTTTTATACTTTAAACACATACCACGTATTTACTGAAGAAAATTTGAAAAACATTGAAAAGTATTTAGAAAAAAAGAAATCAATTGTAACTCTATCCCTCAGAGACAACCATTCAACTGTATCTTAAAATGCTTCTTGAATCAGCTTGTATAGATCTTTTTTTTTTTGAGACAGGAGTGCGGTGTTTTTTTTTTTTACTTTTTGTAGAGACGGGGCCTCCCCATGTTGCTCAGGCTAGTCTTGGATTCCTGGCCTCAAGGAGTCCTCCTACCTGGGCCTCCCAACCAAAGGGCTGGGATTACAGGCATAAGCCACTGTGCTTGTTTGATGTCATTCTTTTTTTTTTTTTTTTGAGACGGTGTCTCGCTCTGTCGCCCAGGCTGGAATACAGTGGTGCGATCTCCACTCACTGCAAGCTCCGCCCCCCAGGTTCAAGCCATTCTCCTGCCTCAGCCTCCCGGGTAGCTGGGACTACAGGCGCCCGCCACCGCACCCGGCTAATTTTTTGTATTTGTAGTAGAGACGGGGTTTCACAGTGTTAGCCAGGATGGTCTCGATCTCCTGACCTCGTGATCTGCCCGTCTCGGCCTCCCAAAGTGCTGGGATTACAGGCGTGAGCCACGGCACCCAGCTGATCTCATTCTTTTTACTGACTGCAGGGTTTCCATGGTATGGATGGGTAAAAATTTATTTAACGAAATTCTCTGATGATAGACATTTGGATTGTTCCCTGTTTACAGTAAAACAGTATTAAATTTATCAGTGTGCACTCATGCAAGTATAGCTGTAAGGTGAGTTCCTAGAAATGGGCTCCCTGGGCCAAAGGATATACACATTTAAGGCTTTAGTAAGTGCTGCTAAATTGTCCCCCATTGATGCTGACCAGGTTACTATTTTACAGCCAAGGGGAATGCCAATTTTCCACGCACTAGTATAATAGTTTAACTTTAAAGGGGGCTCCTCAAGGGTAATGCTGCCATCAGAGGCAGATGTGTGTGTGAGAAAGAATATTGAGGGGACGCCTCTACTGTATTAATACTATGAATTTTCCTAGAATAGGTCTTTCCTGAGAGCATTTGGGTTTGTTTACTCCTCTCCCCCTTTCTCCTGTCTGGGGCAGGTTGAAGGCATTCAAGGTGGCCCTCTTGGATGTGTTCCGGGAAGCTCATGCGCAGTCAGTCGGCATGAATCGCCTCACAGAATCCATCAACCGGGACAGCGAAGAGCCCTTCTCTTCAGTTGAGATCCAGGCTGCTCTGAGCAAGATGCAGGATGACAATCAGGTCATGGTGTCTGAGGGCATCATCTTCCTCATCTGAGGAGGCCTCGTCTCTGAGCTTGGGTTGTGCCAAGAGAGTTTCTTCCGTGTTTCCCCCCCCGTCCCCAACCCAAGTCTTTGCCTCTGCTCCCCTCACTAACAGTGTTGAACTGAAGGCGAGGAATGTTGGTGATGAAGCTGAGTCAGGACTCGGTGGACCCTTTGGGAATGGATCATGAAAGCTGCCATGGGGTGAGGAAAGAGGAGACAGTGAGAGAGGACAAGGACTATCGCATCTTCATTGCAAAAGCACTGGCTCATCCATCCGCCCTACTTCCCATCCCACACAAACCCAACTGTAAATAGCATGACTTCTGAGTACTTTTGAGGGGCACAACTGTTTTCTGTTCGCTGTTTTTTTTTCCTGCAGAGCACTGTGGTCTAGACTAGGCTTTGGGTGGTTCTAACTGGTGGAGAGAAGCTCTGATGCATGTCATGCAGGTCAAGAGAGCTTTCTTTACAATAGCACCAGTTAAGGCGAATATATATTGTAGCACAAAACAAACCCAATATCCAGATGAATATCTGAGATGTTGAATAAACTTAGCCATTTTGTACACGCGGTCTTAATAGTCGTAGTCTGTTTTTCATACATATATTGAATTTTGTTTTCCTTGAGAGCAATCGTGCAGGGTTTGCTGCTCCCGCATTTGCAGCAAACTACCACACGGTGGCAGCAGCCTGCTGTGCTCTCTCTCTGGGGGTCATGTCTCCTCTAGAGACAGTTTTCTTCCTCAGCAGCACCAGCATTTATCAGTCAAAATTGATAGTGCAGACCAAACCCTGCCAATTTAAAATAGCTAAATGGCCAGGGGAGGCCAGTGAGTAAAAGTCCAGGAAAAGAATTACCTCTCTGCCTGGCGCTTTTTGCCTGAATCTAAACTTACCCTTCATAAAGATAGAACACCTGATATGTCAGACACCTCAAAATCCTGGGAGTTCTTGCCCATAATGAGATCCTGTTAGAGGATCCTCTTTTTTTTTTGAAATAGGGTCTCGCTTTGTGCCCAGACTAGAGTACAGTGGTACAATCAGCTCACGACAGCCTCGACCTCCTGGGCTCAAGTGATCCTCCTGCCTCAGCCTCCCGAGTAGCTGGGACCACAGACACATGCCATCATGCCCAGCTAAGTTTTTGTTTTTTATTTTAGTAGAAATGAGGTTTCTCTGTTGCCCAGGCTGGCCTTGAACTCCTGGACTCAAATGATTCTCGCATCTCAGCCTCCTAAACTGTGAGATTATAGGCATGAGCCACTGTGCCCAGCCTACAGGATGCTTTTGAAACTACCTGGGTGTCCACTCTTTGGGGTTGGTTAGCCTGTTTGCACATAAGCTTGTGATGGGGCCAGGGTGGGACTTCTACTCTTGTACGGTTTGGATAGCTTTTGAAGAATTTTTCAAGTTACTTAAAAAAAGAATCATGTGACTTTATGGGGAGCTTGGGTCACATGGACTGGAAGCTGCTTTCTGGTGGCAGATGTGGCTCTGAAGTGCTAGTTCTTGGCTGTAAGATTGCTGAGGTACTTTCTTCTCTGTTTTTGCCGAGGGTCATCCTTTACCACAAAGCAGGAGATATTCTTTGGTTCGTTAAGACAAAGGGATTTTTTTCTTAAAAGCAGTACAAAATTGTTGGGGAATTCTGTTTTATTTGTGATTTTTTTTTCCCCCCCTCACAGATGCGAGATCCAAGTCCTATTGGAAGTGGTCTAGAGAACCCAGTTTCAAAGGACAGTGCAGTGGTACCAGAAGGAGGAATTTGCCATTCATTGAGCATTGGCAATGAATCAGAAGTTGTGCTAGGTACCGCAGTGGGTGCAAAAGTGGTGCTTTCTGCTCTGAGGCCTCTAAGCTGGGGATATGTCAGTATGTTGGTGAAAATTTAAAAATATAAAGTATACAGCTGGGCATGGTGGCTCATGCCTGTAATCTCAGCACTTTGGGAGGCCAAGGCAGGCGAATTGCTTGAGTCCAAGAGTTTAAGGCCAGCCTGGGCAACATGGCGAGACCCTGTCTCTATTAAAAAAATTAAGTATGATTATATACCAAATAAGGGCAGACACAGAGATATAGGAATCCAGGGAGGACCATGAGGATGTCAGGTGCTACTGATGGGGTACAGCTATGAAGAACAACTCTAGGAGTTTTTAGGGATCTTCTCAAGTGATTTGTTCTAGAAAGGCAAACATTCTGTCAATAGGACTCTTAGTCTGTCCTTCACTCCTGAGGAAACTGAGGCACAGGGTGGGGGGATATGTGCATCTACCATTGTGATAATAGCTGTAATATCAGGTGTACTTTGCTGACCATTTCATCACTCTTCAAACTAGTCAAAAGAATAGTAAGTGGAAGACTATATAGCAGCCACAATAGATATTAATTGTATTAAAATAGCATGACTCAACCTTTCCATTGAGTTTTAAGAAACTTGCGTGTGTAGTTCCCAACTTACAGTAATAGAAAAGAGCTGGTAAGCTTTTCCAGGATAGGTTCTTGCTTGTTGACAGGTGGTCCACTGCAGGACCTACTGTGGGAACCAGAAAGAGGCTGCTCAGGTGGGCTGACATGTCTTGAGGCCAGTCACCCCCAAGGGTATCACTGTTGCCACCCTGCAGAGATTGCAGTGGTGACCCAGATTCACCAGAGAAAATCACTAAATTACGTGCCTGATTCCAAAAGAGAAGTCTGTTTACATTTAGATTTGTCGTCTGAAATACTGTAGTTAAAATAATTTGGGGGGCTTAGAGAAGTAAGTTGTATCTTGAAAAATGGCACCTTATTCCTTAACTCCCCTGGATAAATGAAGTGGCAACATGAAAGGATGGTTTTCAAAAAGGACAGTTTGGTAAGGATTGCTGAGATTGAATCTCTTCTCTGCAATTTACCAGACAACTTCAGGTAAGTTTTGTGCTGCTCTTTATTTCAGCTGTAAAATGGGGATGATTCTTGCCTTGTAGGATGCTTGTGAGACATAACTGGGAAAGCAGATGGCAGGTTCCCGCCTGGTGTATTACTACTTCATGGCAGTGGTTTGATTACTGCAAGTTCCAGGGCCCATTAAAACAAAGTGATTCATTTTGACAAATGTTTATGAAACATGATCCTTTAATCAAAACCAATTATGATGATTTCACCCTGGCTGCATTCCTGAACTCTCATCCCTTCCCTGCCTTTCCACTCTGATGGTTCCCACATTCTGGTCAGTGTGGCTTTGAGGCAAGCACTTCCCCCAGAGAGGACCCTCTGGGCGCTAGCTCGGCAATGCATTTTCAGCTTTCTCCTGAGGGCAGTGTTACCTCACAACAGGGCAGGGTGGTATGAAAACATCGAGGGGGATGATGAGAAAGGCTCACAGAAACCAGTGAATCTGCCAGCCCTCTCTTTCTCATGTCTCCTGAGGAGATTTCAGACTACACCAGTTGTCCTAATGATTCTGAACTTGTGAAGTGAACTCTGCCTCGAGGGTTTGGTCAGTGGAATATGGCAAGCGCAAGAATCACCTGTGTGCTGGCTGCCTCAGGTGCTCAGCCCTAACAACAACTCTGTGCAAGCTCTTTCCCTTCCTTGGCATCCTTTCCCTTCCTCCCTCCTCAAGAGCCAGGTAACACCATGTCTGCTGTACATGTAGGGAAGTGAGGATGGGGGAGCATTAAACTCTGGTTGCATAGGAAAACTCACCTGAGAGCCAAAAGGTTGGGAGGGTGACATGAGCCCTGCACTGGCAAGCAAAGGCATGTGCATCTGAGTTCCTTTTCTGACACTAGGTATCAGAGTTAACATGCCAAGCTAGGCTGGCCACTTAGAGGAAAGTGCATGGTTTCCATATCTGGAAAAGGAGTTGGTGGAACTACGTGATTTCTGAGGTCCCTTCTGGTAATGCATGTGATTTTCTTTTGTTTCTCTTTGAAATTGCCATAGAGTCTTGCTCTGTAGCCCAAGCTGGATTGCAGTGGTGCAAACATGGCTCACTGTAGCCTTGACCTCCTGGGCTCAAGTGATCTTTCCTCTTGAGCCTCCTGAGTGGCTGGGACCACAGGTGCACATCACTCTGCCTGAGTAATTTTTACATTTTTTGTAGAGATGGTGTTTCTCTATGTTGCTCAGGCTGGTCTCGAACTCCTGGGCTCAAGTGAGCTTCCCACCTCAGCCTCCCAAAGTGTGGGGATTATAGGCATAAGCCACCATGCCTGGCCATGATTTTCTTTACATTCAGTGTTAGTTCCACCTACAAGATATGTTAGCACTGGCACTGCTTGATAAAACCTGGGTTGGACTGCTTGGAGAGGCAGGTCAGAATGGGTTGTCGGTCACCATGTTAAATATGCTTTTTAGGGACAGTGATTTCTATGCTTCCTTATTACCTCTTTGTGGGTAGTGTCCCAGGATGTTGCCAATTATTTCAAGAGATTTTATTGAATTTCTGGAAACTTTTTTTTTTTTTTTTTTGACATGAAGTCTCACTTTGTTGCCCAGGCTGGAGTGTAGTGGCCTGATCGTGGCTTACTGCAAACTCTGCCTCCTGGGTTCAAGTTACTCTCCCACCTCAGCCTCCCAAGGAACTGGGATTACAGGCACCTGCCACCATGTCTGTCTATTTTTTGTATTTTTAGTAGAGATGGGGTTTCACCATGTTGGCCAGGCTGGTCCTGAGCTCCTGACCTCAGGTGATCCGCTCACCTTGGCCTCCCAAATTGCTGGGATTACAGGTGTGAGCCGCCACACCTGGCCATCCTAGAAACACTTTAGAACAAAATTAATTTTAACTCCATTTTAAATTCATGAAAAATAAACCTGGTTTACTTTCTTTTTCAGACCTGGCACCTTAGTGATGCGTGTTGGATTCTGGTTGGTCCATTATTAACCAGTGTGTAATCCTAGCTCATTCTCTTCAATCTTTTCGTGAATATTTTTACTATTAAGTTCTAAGTATTTTCCCACAGCCTGTAGGAGTATATTAGCCTCTGCTGAGATTTACCATTCTGATAATAGTTCTCCCAGCAGGTACTTTTTGTAGCAAGCTAAACCTCCCTAGCTTGAAGTACCACTATTTAACCTTGAAATAGAAAGATCAGCTCCTGTAGGCCGGGCGCGGTGGCTCATGCCTGTAATCCCAGCACTTTGGGAGGCCGAGGCGGGCGGATCACAAGGTCAGGAGATCGAGACCACGGTGAAACCCCGTCTCTACTAAAAATACAAAAAACTAGCCGGGCGCGGTTGTGGGCGCCTGTAGTCCCAGCTACTCGGGAGGCTGAGCCAGGAGAATGGCGGGAACCTGGGAGGCGGAGCTTGCAGTGAGCTGAGATTGCGCCACTGCACTCCAGCCTGGGCGACAGAGCGAAAAAAAAAAAAAAAAGAAAGATCAGCTCCTGTAATATTGCATATGTGTGCTGCTCTTCTAGTAATTTCAGTGCATGTAGTCCTGAATAGGAACCACAATAAAACCTGATAAAAATCTCTAAAAATGAAAGTATGTGGTTGTTTTTTTCTGTCTTTTTTGAGACAGTCTTGCTCTGTTGTCCAGGCTGGAGTACAATGGTGCAAACATGGCTCACTGCAGCCTCAAACTCCTGGGCTTAAGCAATCTTTCCACCTCAGCCTCCCAGGGAGCTGGGACTACCATGCCTGGCTAATTTTTAAATCTTTTTGTAGAGACTGGGTCTCTATGTTGCCCAGGCTGGTCTGGAATTCCTGGCCTCAAACAATCCTCTGACCTCAGCCTCCCAAAGTGCTGGCATTACAGGCATGAGTCACTGCACCTGAACTATTTAAAACAAAATATTACTACGAATATGACATGGAATATTCAGGAAGCTAGAGAACAAAAATTATCTTACTACCCTAATATAACTACTATAACTCGTTTTTGGTGAATCTTAAAACCAGTTTTAAGAATGGCACTTCATAATATATCCAGTTGTATAAGCAAGCTTCAGATTAGGCACTTGAGATTAACAATGGTTTAGGAATTTAAGGACAAAAAATGTTTTTGAAACTGAATTTGAAGTCACATGTTTGAAGCTTTGATTGCAGGAGAAAGGCAAATGTTCACAGGTCACATTTAACCCTAATGGAGAATAAAAAGCTGAGAAAATTAGAGTTTAACATAGGGATGATGTATATAGGTTCTAAACTCCCAACCAAACTTTGGCTCCCAGGCACAACTTTATGTACTCAGTGACTGGGACAGATGAGAAGCGATGGCCCTGCTGCTATATACTAGGCACCGTATAAATTATAATAAATGTTTCTACCACCTGTGACATGGATTTTATTTTATTTATTTTTTTTATTTTATTTTTTTTGAGACGGAGTCTCACTCCGTCGCCAGGCTGGAGTGCAGTGGCTGGATCTCAGCTCACTGCAAGCTCCACCTCCGGTTTACGTCATTCTCCTGCCTCAGCCTCCCGAGTAGCTGGGACTACAGGTGCCGCCACCTCGCCCGGCTTAGTTTTTTGTATTTTTTAGTAGGGACGGGGTTTCACCGGGTTAGCCAGGATGGTCTCAAACTCCTGACCTCGTGATCCGCCGTCTCGGCCTCCCAAGTGCTGGGATTACAGGCTTGAGCCCCGCCACCAGCCGACATGGATTTTATTATCTCAATTTTATAGAGAATAGGCCTAGAAAGATTAGATACTTTGCCCAGGGTCTCAGAGCTGAATGTGGTGGAGATCCTACTGGCACTCTTGATTCTTAATTATACTTGTTTGTTTTTGTTTTTTGAGATGGAGTTTGTCTTGTTGGCCAGGCTGGAGTGCAATGCACGATCTAGGCTCATCACAACTCTGCCTCCCGGGTTCAAGTGA